AAAAAAAATATTTTTTTTATTTTGACATATTTTGGAAATTCTGAACTTTTTTTCAAAGCAATCGTACAGCTTTAACAGCATGGAGACGAAATATCGAAGCGCGTAAGCGCCGCGTCGCCGTCTAATGGATAAGCATTGGTACGGAACCCATAGGAATGCAAACAAAATTTATACTTATTGCTAAAATCTCTATAAAATATCTGATAATTTGATGTGCATATGTCTAATGATCATTTTTGACCGCCAAATGGCTCAGTTTTTTTACTTTTTCCCCCATATCTCCAAAGTGTTGCACCCGCCTTTCCAGTTAAACAGTAAATTTAAACAGTTCTTCATTTAATCAATACAAATAAAATGTTTTTTGAATTATTCAAATCGGACGCTCCGTTCTCTTAAAAACTGAGTTACCGTTTTTGGCACTTTTTGCCCCATATCTTTGGAACGGCTAGACCTGCCTTTGCCAAAAAGTAATCAGCACGTTTCCTTGACAATACGAATCGAATGTTTTTTGAATTATTCAAATCGCTTCATCCGTGTTCCCGAAATCGTCGACGAAAATTTGTATCCGCACACACACACATACACACACACACACACACACACATACATCCATTTTTTCTAAGGTATGCCAAAATGTTCAGAAGGTTTTAAAACGTAAAAATATATTAAAATTTTCATGTTCGATATTTTGCGATTATTATAACTTGCCCTACGGGAAGTTAAAAAGGTCTATATGCGTTTCGGAGATACGGAGCTCAATTTGCAAAAAATGGCCGTTTTTGAGAGAACTAAGCATGCGATTTGAACGATTTAAAAAACTTTATGTTTGTGTTGACGAAACGATTGCTTTTGGAACGGGACGATGCCATACACTATAGTTATATTATATTTGGCGTTTCAATTTCATCATATCCGTTGGGGGTCAACAGTTATCTTCCGGAAGTTTTTCACTTATTTGTCATTAATTGAATAAAAATATCGATTTACCCATTAAACAACAAATCGTGTCAACTCGATCCAAATAATATTATTTGATTTGATCAATAACGAATCAGTTTATACCATAACGGACATGCGTCCTATTTTCAGTTTCTTTCGTTCAATTTCCCATTAAGTAGCCGCTTCTAAAAAGTTTTACCTCAAAAATCATTTGTTATATAGATGTGCAAATTTGAAAAAAATTAATATAAGGATTATCATGATTTCAACAATTAAGATTAAAAATACTAACTGTTTAAACACCAACTACCAATTTGACAATTATTCACACTTTAGTCAGCGAGTTTGTTCTTCTTTTTAACATCCCGAAGTTTATGTTTATGTTTATGTTTTCATAAAAAAAAAAACCGATTCGCTAAATTTATATTTTCAAGCCTTTCTGAATCGAATGGAACTGCATGCAATTGCAGGAATGGAACTGCTTCGCGTCCGAACGAACTGCATGCAATTGCAGGACTATTAGCGTTACGCGCGGGTGTACTGGCTCCGGTTTTTTCAATTTTCCAATGTGTTCCACCAAATTGATTTGAACAATATTTATAGTACTAAAAGAAAAAACAATAGGCTTTCGAATAACGTTAATTAGAAGGTGGTCCAACTAAGCGCACTAGCGAAAAACTTCAATTGAAAAATTGTTTTATCTTTTTCAGCTAATAATAAATGATTATTTGACATCGATTGTTCTACAAAATGTAGCCTAAGCCAATATGAATAGAACCACGTAAATTTTTTTTCGATATCTCTTATGATTACGCCAAAAAGTGAGTTTGAAAAAAGGGGCCACTTTCACATATTTTCAATGATATCTCGGCCATAAGGTGAGATACAAAGTTGAAAATTGGTATATCGGTTTTTATGAAATAGACCTATGAAATGACGTATAAATTATTTAAATACCAGGGTGGGGCCGATTCTGTATGGCAAAGCGCCCATACCCAATTTGGAAAAAGTATGTGTGTGTGTGTGAACAGATTTTTTGCCGTAAATCGACGTTTTCTCTCAAAAAACGGCTGGACCGATATCAAAAATGTAAAAGCCATTCTATGTGTCTCAATGAGGACTATTGTTTGTCAGTTTTGTGCGACGATCGGCCAAGCCTTTCTGCTTTATAAATAGCAGAAAAGTGAAAAAAAATTTGTCCACATTTTAGCCCCCGAATCTGAATCGATTTTGAAAATTTAAAATCCGTTCGAAAGATATTGGTTGGGAATCGTGCTAATTCGTTTTTGGTAGAGATCGGCCGGGCGGTTTTCTTGTAATAAAGTGTTAAACAAATTTTTTCGACTATTTTTTTTAATGGTAGATACCATAGTCTTAAAGAGATCATATAATATAGATTATTCTAAAATATTACGGTCCTACGACAAATCGTTTAATTTTAAAAATTTGGCAAAGTTTGCAAAAATTAGTATCGTTTTGTGGCGTTTGTCAAAATTAGAACTTTCATCGACGTTTGCTTAAAACCGCCTGAACCGATTTCAAAAATTTAAAAGCCAATCGATGTATTTCAATGTGGATTATCTTTTCTCGGTTTTGTGCGACGATAGGCTGAGCCGTTTCTTTACAAATAGCAGAAAAGTGAAAAAAAAAATTGTCCACGTTTTAGCCCCCAAATCAGAATCGATTTTGAAAATTCAAAATCCGTTCGAAAGATATTGGTAGGGAATCATGCTAATTTGTTTTTGATAGAGATCAGCCGGGCGGTTTTCTTATAATAAAGTGTTAAACAAATTTTTTCGACGATTTTTTTTAACGGTAGATACCATAGTCTTAAAGAGATCATATAGATCATTCTAAAATATTACGGCCGTACGACAAGTCGTTTAACTTTAAAAATTTGTCAAAGTTTGCAAAAATTAGTATCGTTTTTGTGGCGTTTGTCAAAATTAGAACTTTCATTGACGTTTGCTTAAAAACGCCTGAACTGATTTAAAAAATTCAACGACGTATTTCAATGTGGAATATCTTTTCTCGGTTTTGTGCGACGATAGGTTGAGCCGTTTCTTTACAAATAGTAAAAAAGTGAAAAAAAATCGTCTACTTTTTAGCTCTCAATTCTGAATCGATTTTTAAAAAAATCAAAAACTTTCCCAAAAATATTGTTTGGGAACGAATCTGATTAGTTTTAGGTGAAAATCTTTTTATGGTTTTATAGATCATACTAAAATTCCATTGGAAATCGCAATGTTTAGATTTGACGATAACTTTATTTTCAAAATAAATAGTAGAAAATTTTATCTAAATATCTAAATACCAATTTCGGTTGATTAAGTCAATTATTACACATTTCGGGAAGTTCGTGCAACTGGCCTCAAGGCTAAAGATCACTTTCAACTAGTTTCAATTTAGCACACACAAGGAACATAATACATTTGGGTACTATTAAGAGTTAACGTGCAACAAATGAGACATTGGACTCTACACCAAATACATCAT